TGAGCTTGTGTCACCGGGAGCGTCTCCTTCGTCCGGTGCGCCCTCCCCCCCCCCCCCCCCCCCCCTCCAGTGCTCCCTTGGGGTTGGGCCCAAAGGTGGGGAGGACCTTGTCCACGCCGCTAACTCCAACCTGTCCCTCCCCCCCGTCCCCTCCCAGAAACGGGACGAGCGCAGCATCAAGAACACAGGCATTCGGGTGGTGGATTTCGGCAGTGCCACTTTCGATCACGAGCATCACAGCACCATCGTCTCCACGCGGCACTACCGGGCACCCGAAGTCATTTTGGGTCAGTATTAACACCTCGGTGCCGCTGCCAGGTCCAGGTTGGACTCCGAATGCCACAAATGCAGATCCTTTTTTCCCCCCCCCCCCTCCCCCTCCCTTTGCTGCCACAGAACTCGGCTGGACCCAACCCTGCGACGTCTGGAGCGTTGGCTGCATTATCTTCGAGTATTACATGGGCTTCACCTTGTTCCAGGTGAGCGTGGCAGGTAGGAGGCCTAAGAAAACCAGGCCGTTCCAGGTCTTCGTTTTTAACGACTCCAAACTTTTTTTCCCTCCCCCTTCCCCTCTCAGACCCACGACAATCGCGAGCACCTGGCGATGATGGAGCGTATCCTAGGCCCCATCCCATCGAGGATGATCCGAAAAACCAGGTAGGGGCAGGGATAGGTGGGGGTGTGGTCCTCAGGGAAGGTGGAAAAGGCACGGAACTCGAGCGGCTTTGGATTAGGGACAGAAACTGAGACAGGTAGAAGAGAACCTTGGTAGCTCAGGCCTGGTTGAACCTGTGGGGTCCCAGATGGCCTCTGAGCTGGGTGGTTTTCTTGCAGACGTTTCATGACCCAGCTTGGTCACATCATCAGTGCTGGAAGGGAGAAGGCTTTGTGGAGTGGAGGAGGAGGAGGACTGTGGGGTCCTCGGCGGTCTCTGAGCTTGGTGGAGGGGTTGGTGGGTTTTTTTGCAGACATTTCATGACAGAACCAGGTGACCTCGTCCTCAAGCCTCACTCCCTTGTAACACTGATGGTGGCCCCTAGTTGGGTCATGAAACGTCTGCAAGGACGTTTTCATCTTCTTCCTCCTCCTCCTCCTCTTCCTCCCTCTCCTTCATTCTCCCTTTCTGCAAACCCCACGCCCTTCTAGCCCTGATAATGTTACCAACCAAGTTCAGAGACCACCAAGGAACTCACCATCCTCCTCCTCCTCCTCCTCCTCCTCCTCCTCCTCCTCCTCTCTCCTCCTCGCTTAACAAGTGATCATAAGTGAAAAGTTTACCTATATTTGTATACTTGATTAAAAAAAAAAACAACCACCACCAAGGAGCAACGCACAGTGGCCCTTTTTACCACTGATGGTTCCTTGTGATGTTTTTCATTTTTATTTTTATTTTCCTGGTTTAGGAAGCAGAAATATTTCTACCACGGACATTTGGACTGGGATGAGAATACCTCGGCGGGGCGCTACGTGCGTGAAAATTGCAAGCCGCTCCGGGTAAGCCGGGGGCCTGTTCCTGCCTCCCACCGGCCCGACCAAGTTGGATTCCTTCAGGAAACCAGCATAATGCATCGTAACGTGATAGAAATAACATGCCGGTCACCAAAGCGTCCGGATTTTGATCTCGTGACCCACAGCGACACCGCTGTGTGGAAAACAAAATGGCCCTAAGTCATCTTTTTCAGCGCCGTTATAACATCGGTCACTAAACGAGTAGCTGCAAGTCGAAGATTACCTGTCATTTGCCATTGTCCATGCCTCCTCCTCCAGCTATAAAAATCACAGAAGCGGGAGGGACCTTAGAGATCCTCTAGCCCGACCCAGGTTTTTTTTTTCCCTCCAACCACGGAGGACTTAGCAGCCACCGGCTTAATCATTCTTAACGGGCGCCCCACTTCACCCCACCCCCCCCCCCCCCGGCCCAAGAGTCAGCAATCGGTGGCTCTAGAGCCGCATGTGGCTCTCTCCTCTCTCTGCTGCCGGTCGGCTCCACAATGGATAGGGCTTTCGGTTAGGACAGGTGGAGGAAAAAGGAC